GACATCTCCTGGGGCAACTCCCTACTCTCTTATTTATGGTACGGAAGCTGTTCTGCCAATTAAAATAGAAGTACCGTCACTGCGAATACATTCTGGTAGCAATTGATTACTTCACGAAGTGGGTGGAAGCTCAGTCTTATGCAGTGTTGAAAGCAGCGCATGTGACTAAGTTCATCCGAAACAACATCATTTTCCATTATGGAGTCCCGAATGAGATTATTTTAGATAATGGCTCTCATTTTAAGAAAGAAGTGATAGATTTGTTGAAGAAATACAACGTGGCTTTTCATAAGTCATCCACATACCAGCCGCAAACCAATGGAGCTGTGGAGGCCGCTAACAAGAATATTAAGCACATTCTACAGAAGATGGTTGAGACCTACAGGGACTGGCTAGACAAATTGCCATTTGCACTCTGGGGCTATAGAACTTCAATTCGGACATCTCCTGGGGCAACTCCCTACTCTCTTATTTATGGTACGGAAGCTGTTCTGCCAATTAAAATAGAAGTACCGTCACTATGAGTTATGGTCGAGTGTCAAATAGCAGAGGTGGATTGGCAGCAAAACAGGTTTGAAGAACTCATGTTGTTTGATGAGAGAATACTAAAAGCACTGTACCATGTTCAAGGCTATCAACGCAGGATTGCTAGGGCTTTTAACAAGAAGGTTAAGTCCAGGAATCTTAAAGAAGGGGATTTGGTGCTAAAAGACAACCGAGCTCCCATTCATGACCCTAGGGGGAAGTTCAAACCCAATTGGACTGGTCCTTACATCATCAAAACTATCTGGTCGGGTGGAGCTGTTATTCTCATGGACTTGGATGGCCTAGAATTTTTCCAACCGATCAATATGGACAAATTGAAGAAATACTATCCCCGAGGGGCTCGCTAGGCCGAAAACCCAGAAGGGCAGGCTTGGCAAAAGTTAGAGCACAAAAAATTAGAAAAAAGAAAAATTGAGCTTGCAAGGTAGAAAACCCTAAAGGGCGGACTTGGCAAAAGTTAGAGCGCAAAAGGAGAGCGTTAATACTCGAGTGAACCCAAACCGAACTACGTAAGGCCTGATTCCCATCTTCAGGATACGTAGGCAACTTCATCTTGGAGTTCAGCCGTAAACAACTCCAACTTAACTATCATGTCCATGTGTTTGATCAGGTCATCTTTGTTTGTTCTTTATCTGAAAGTTTGGTTATGATCCTTACTTTGAGAGAAGAACTAGTTATAGTGCTGCACAGTGCTATTCAGTCAAGAGGCAGTTTGTGATCTTTGGATTTGGGGTTGTACATCTCAAGGATAGATTTTGTGCGTGTCAAGTTGTGATCCTTATCGAAAATGGTTTTGAAAAGTTTGATAAAAGTTGGTTTTTGCTCAAAATTTACCTTTTATAATTTAGACCATTTTTGGACCAAAAGGAAAAACTTTCAGTGCTCGTAACTTTAATTTCATTGATTGCAATACAAAGTTCTCCAACTCTCGATACAAATCAAAGTTACTTTTATTACATTCATAAAACTTGAAAAGTAAGATCAAAGCAATAAATTAAGGGCATAGATGAGTCAGGTGTTCCTGCGTCCCCCGCTCGTGCTTGTGGAAGCTTCTAATGCTAAAGCAAGCCCGGATTATGCCTCATTTTCGAGCCAAGACAGGCAGTCGCCAAAAAAGGCGTAGCTAAAACTAGGGGCAGGAGCTAGAAGCTCTTTCGTCCTCCAAGCAGTAAGGTACCTAGCCAAATATGAACCTCGGACAAGGAATGAAACCGGGTACTCTACTCCCTTCTCTGGGCGAGTTTGATCATGTCCAAACAGACGCCTGAACTGGAACAGAAAGTAAAATACACAGTGTCAGGCCAATCAGCTGAATGCCAGGTTGCCGAGTCATGTTGTGGCTCATTTCGGTCAAATTAAGCTAGGGGCAACGCCAAACAATGTCAGCAGCAAACCTATTGCGCATCCAGTGGCACGACCATCTCTCATTCGGGAAATTCACTAGTTATTGGCGAAAAAAGTATGCTCGAGCTGAGTATGTTGGGCAAGAGTCCACTACCTTCAACTTGTCCATAAGCCATATCTGGGGAGGGATGAAAGAAAAGAGAGATTAAAGAATAGAGAGATGTATGTTGAGAGAAAAGTGAGAAAAGGGCTTTGAGAGAAAAATAGAGCATGAGTGCCAAGAGATATGAGAAACACATATTAGAAAGGGTGGGAAACATTACCTGCAAAAGTAGTGGACTCCTTGTGAATTTGCTTGTCTCTCGTCGATGAAAGGCGTCTAAGCCCATCAAAGTCTCGGCCAATGCTAAACTAATGCAACTCTTGCCCTCTTTCAAACCTTGGGCCACTTCAATGAGCCGGGTGCTAGATCCGTCGAAACGGGGGGCAAGAAGGAAATGAGCTAACATGCACAAACATAGGGCGTGTTGCCGAAAACCCCGCCAAAGAAGGTTGCCTCGGTCGCCAACTTTAGAAAATCGATGAATCAGACTGGGGATGTCCATCTCTCCATTGTGAACCAAGGATCGGGCCTCATGTAGAATAAGCCCGCACATCCGTCCCAAGGCTTGGATGTGACCAAAATAGGGCTATGACAAGATTTCCTCATCGCGTCGAGACTCCATAAGCACTTGAAATTCTTCGATCGTTGGCATATCTCTTGTCCCCCGAAGCTAAAGACTTGTGTGATTGGGTTCCAACACCTAGCCGCGGCGTGAAGGAATGGAAAACAAAGCAGAAAATGACTCGGCGAAAATAGTGCATTTATACTAAAATCCCAAAAATTCACATTTTCCAAGTCATCCGAAGTTCCAATCCAATCTGAGAGTTTTTCGGCAAGAAATGGCTCCATTTGTGAAGAATTTGCAGCTGAAATGAAGAAACTACGAGGTCCAAGCTTTTGTAGAAGATAAGGCAATGAGTGGAAGCCAACTGTCAACAATCTGGAGGTTCAGCACATTAGTAGCCGGCAGGCCACTATTGGTGGTCGGCACATTCCATCCTTGGCCGGTATGTGGCCGGCAAGCTCTCTAAGTGGCCGGCATCTGTCTTGTGTGTTCTGCTGTCCACCTATGTGCTGAGAATGCTGAAAACATGTGTTCTGTTCTGTTCTTTATGCTTTTTAAGGTTTTGTTTTGAGTCCTTTTAGTTTTAGCAAGTTTGTTGAGTTGTATTCAAGTTGTTTTGTTTTGTTTATTAAGTTGTTTTGCTTATCGAGTTGTTGCTATTTTGATTATCGAGTTGTATGTTCTGGTTAGAACTTCAGTTGTTGGTTGATTCATTACCTCATTAAGACTGTTGTGACAATAGAAGTATTCAGTTTTCAATATCAAATTCAATCTCCATTTCGTGCTAAGTGGTGCTCATGATGCAAAATACAACACTTTTTCAAAGAAAAACTGGTTTTCATTCCAATCATGGTTGTCTTTTTTTACAAAAGCACAGTACAAGTTTTTAAAGCAAATGAAACCTATCTAAAGCTGTACAAAGTGCTAACACTACTAACCAAAAAAAAAACTACGCAAAAATATAAGAAAATCAGCGCTAACCATCTCAGGCTCGAGGAGCCCTCTTCGTCATCTTCCTGGGCAAGGACTCAGAGCTGTCTCCATCTGCACCGCTATCTGATTTAGGTGCTGAGCCAGAACCGGAATCACACCACTCTCTGCCTGAGAGCCCGGCTCTGCATCACCTCCACTCTCAGATCTAGAGTCATTGTCATCTCAACTCTCAGAGGACTTAGAATGTAGACTCACTGCCTCCTCAGAGCTGCTTGTCTCGGCATCGTCATCACTCAACACTGGCTCTGAGGGGCTCCTCCAGCCTCGACCACTACGTCCTTCTCGGCTACGCACTGGGGCCTGTCTCTCCCTCCTCTCTGCTACTGGAGGAGGTGGTGATGGTGTAGGTGCAGCTGCTGCCGATAGTGCTCTCAGTATGGATGGAACTTGAAAAGATACAGTATTGCATAAGATACAAAGTATAGTTGCAAATACAGTATGATGAAAATAGTGGAATGCAATGAGCCGGATACAGTGCAAGTATAGTACAGTGTGTTAGTGCAACGTAGCAATGTGATGTGACAAGGGGCAAAATGCATACCATGAGATAAGTATCAATGCTTTAGTCAGAATGCAGTGCACAACAATGTGGAACATGCTGAAATGCGGGCAGAAAGTAGAGAAAGAATACTTGAATGCCATGGAGGCTAAGTAGTGCCTCCCTCCTCAAAATCATGCTCTCAAACGAGGCTACTATCTTGAGCAATCCCTCAGTGTATCCTGGGGGTGCTTGTAAATGTATTGAGTATGATCAATATTCGGAATGAACAAATTTTAGAAGGAAAATTGAGAGCTAGAAAAAATATGGTACATACCGGAGGTACATCGTGAGCTCGAACGTATCTATGCCCGACCTTTGCTGGCTCAATCGGAATCTGATACGACGTCTTGACCGGCCTCCAGCATATCAGTGTGGTCAGGATCTCTAGCCAACCAGTAGCCTGTCCAGCGGAAAGAACCCCTCTAGCCATGGCCCTCATCCCCCGGGTCCTACTCGCCGAAGGGGCATCTACTGCTCTACCTGCACGAGCATGAGCACCGTCAAGGGAGGCATCAAATGTGTCTGGATGAATGTCGCATAATCTCCCTCTCCAATGAAGTAGTCGGCATCCAAGCCCCCGGTAAACTAAATCATCTCCTGGGATGAGAGACTCTTTGTTGCTCTCATAGATGGCGGGGGCGGTATGGGGGCTATAGGCTGAGGAAAACCTAAGGTCTAGCACACGAAGCGCTCGCCTAGAAACTAGGGTCGGCAAACTAGGCCCTCAAGTAGAAGCCGAAAACGGGAAGCCCTTCGAGCTCCGGCATACTAGTCCCGGACTCCATCTGACATCGTCACCCAAGGCTGCCAAGTAATCTGTAAACAGAGAATGCACAGATTGTTTAGTTGCAATATGAATCAAAGCTGAAATAAAGCAAAAACAACTGTGAGTTTTGAGTTACCTCCGCGGCAGTCACTATATCGAAGTATTGACGAAAGAATGCGAAGGTCTCCCAGGTCGTCCGCAGGCATCTCTCGTCATACCGGTGAGAGCATGGCATAGCAGGAAGCATCTCTACCTCTGGCTCTAGGGCAAGGGTAGGGAAATATGTGTATACCCATAGCTACAAGGAAAAGGCAACAGTAAATATACAGTGTATAGAAAAGCAAAACACAAGATAGAGAAAGCAAAATGTGCGTACAGTTTACAGAAAGTACAGATACAGAGTGCAGGAAATAGCATATGTATATAGCATACAGAAAGTACAGATGCAGAATGCAGAAAGCAGAATGGGTAGTACAGTATACAGAAAGTGCAAGTATAGATACAGAGGATGCAGAATGTGCAGTGCAGAAAGCGCAATATATAGGTGTAAACAATATAGTGTGCAGTGTACAGAAAGTGCAAAGCAGAAAGCACAGAAATGGCGAGCAGAAAATGTAAAGCAGAAATGTAAAGCATACCTCCTAAGCTCGCCAGTAGCCTCCGATTCTATCTCCCCTCCTGCAGGATGTCAAGCTCATATAGCCATACAATGTGGCTAGGCTAGCACCACCCCAATCATAAAGCCGGACCTGAGATAAGTCCACCAGAGCGCTTAAGAGATATAACCCCACAGTGTTCCACCTGTTCGTAAACAAGGTGGTGCTGAACAGGAACATCAAGAAGCCTCAGGCATAATGCTCGGTCTCCTCCGAGATCTCTGGCTCTCTCCCTCGAAAATGCTTGGCAAACTAGCTATATCGTACCATCCCCGGTTGAAAGAGAGGCGGACGTGCTCCTAGCAAGGTGTAGCCAGGCGGCCTCCCACTCACCCATGTCCATATCATAAGGAATCCGATGACCCCCTACTTCTACGCCTGTGAGCATGGCGAAGTCATAGGCAGTCATCGTCATCTCCCTAGTAGCAGAGAAGTGGAAGGAGTCGGTGGTATCCCACCACCGCTCCACTAATGCATTAAGAAGTGGGCGACTTGCGATATGGCGCGACAACCCCAGGCAGAATAAGCCGAAGCAGGCCTCGTCGATGATGTAGCGGACACCAGCAAGAAGCTCCATGTACCAGTTCCTCACGGACGTAGCTCCATAGCCTCTGATAGCACGTGAGTCTTCCTGTGATCAAAATAGTGATATACAGTGATATAAGAACAAACAAGTGCAAAGGCAGTGTAAGAAATATAGTGCAAAAGTGTGATTAGAGCAAGGAACGCAGTTAAAGTAAGAAATGCAATGTATAGTGAAGAAAACATGAGAATACAGTGTATACCTCAGTGGCACCGTAAGTCAAATAGGAGTGCGGCTCTCGTAGCAAGAGGTCCTCCCGTGTGCGTTGCACAAGTGCTCTGAATTACCTGATCCCCCCAGGAGGTAGCACATATATCTAAGGATGGTTTGTCGCCGGATCAAAGGGTCGAATCCCGAGTGGTAGTAGCGTTGGCTTAGGCTCCGTCTCCATCTCTAGAGACAACTGGGGTGGGATCTTTCGGAGAGCTCTGTCGTGAGGTATGTCATCCGCCATCTAGAAAGAAGATGAGAAAGTGGTCGAAAATGGAGGAAAAATGGCAAACTTAGAAAAAGTCAACCCTAAGAAAGAGAAAGTGGAGGAAAAAGTCAAAGCCTGGAAAAAGGTGCAAAACCCAAGAGAAACTCGAGGAGAATAAGCCTCAAAAGGTGAAACTCCAAGAAAAAACGCCGAAATCAAATTTCAATCGGTTCAAAACAAAGTAAACAAAGAGGGTTTAGCGAATAAATTTCGCGTGGGGCATTGGAAAACGCGTAGAAAGCGCGGATCTAGAGAGAAGGGGTGCCTAGAGAGAGAGGGAGGAAGATTTCCACCCTAGAGAAGTGAGGAATTGGAGTATGGAGCCCTATACTTAAAGACCCAAGGCAAATTGACCAATTTGCCCTGAATCTGCCACGGGTGGTCGGCAGGCCACCATTGGTGGCCAGCAATGAGCACTGGTGGCTGGCAAGAGTTCTGAGGCTTCCCTTGGAGTCCTAATGCTGCTTTGTGTCTTTGGTCTTCAAGGATCGAAGGGCTTGTTCATTGTTTGGTTCAAAATGTCTCTGCAGAAGCTCGAAATTGTGTTTTCGGTGCGCGACGTTCATCACTTGTCAACGTGGACGAGGTGTATCCTTTAAATACATTGCACTTCTTCCGAGAGGTGAATCGGAAGTTGCCTTTGAGTTTATTTCGTCAAATCATGCTTTGTTATCTTACATAGAATGTGCATTTCTTTTTTGTTGTTGCATGGAATGTACACTTCAATTTGTGGCATAGAATATGCATTTCACATATGTTGTTGTAAAATGTGCATCTCACGGGAATTGTGTGTGCATGTTGCATTCACTTTTCAATCATGCATAGAATATGCTTATGCTTTTGTTTCTTGCATAGAAAATGCCATTAACATTGTATCTCGATTGTTTGTCTCGCATGGGACATGCATTCATAGTGTCGCACTTGTTAAGTCTCTTTCCTACACATGCACGATATTATATGTGCGGTTCATTCAGAGGAGTTCCAGTTGAAATCACTCGTGCCCTTTGGTTCGAATCTTTCCATCTATCCTCCAATCGCGTGTGACACACTAGGATTGTTCCCCTCGGTTAAAAACACTCGGGTATGCCTGGTGTTCACACCACCCTTCGGTTAAAAACACTCGGGTATGCACATTGTTCACACCACCCTTCGGTTAAAAACATCTGGGTACACCCAGTGTTCACACCACTCTTCGGTTAAAAACACTCGGGTACGCCCGATGTTCACACCACCCTTTGGTGAAAAACATTCGAGTGCGTCCCGGTGTTCACACCAACCCTTTGGTTAAAACCATTTGGGTGCATCCCGGTGTTCACACCAAGCCTTCGGTTAAAAACACTCGAGTGCGCCTGCTGTTCACACCATTCTTCCTCCTCTCGCGTGTAACGCGTTAGGATTTCCAATCGATTAAAAACATTTGGGTGCGCTCGGTGTTCACACCATCCTTTTTCTTTTTGCATGCAATGCATTAGAATCTCAGTTGAGGCCTCGGGTGTGCCCGACGGTTATGTCACTCTTCGCCTTTCTTACGCGTCGCGTAGTTAAGCTTGTATAATTTTCTTATGTCCTTTCTGCATGAAGTGTGGTTTGGCTTGTGATTCCCATGTGTGGCGTGTTTTATTCGCTTACTTCTTTTCATGTTTGAGATTGTTGTACCTTGTTTCGGTTTATTTGAATATGGCATTTTCATTGTATTGTATTTGCATTTAAATGTTTCATTACAACCTCATTGCATGATCATAAGTTATGTTCTTGCCTTGTTTGCATCTTGCCCCAGAACTACGCTAGTTTGATTCCTTGCAAAGGGATACGTAGGTAACCTGGGAACGCAACCATTTGTTTTTGACTTATTTGTTTGTTCATGTCTTCGGCCTTGTCAAAAATGGGTCGTCTCTGGGCTTTGACATTCACCCACGTCATTTCATGACTTCCGAGTTCTGTCAAAGAGGAGCAACTGTAAACACCCCATTTTTGACCGTCCTCAAGACTTGAATGTCATCGTTTTCACACTTGATGATTGTGACTATTTGTGCTTGTTTTGGTGCCCGAAATCCTCGACGGAATGCCCTGTCTTTGAGCCTTCAAACTCTACCCATTTTGTGCCCTGTTTTGGACCAAAATCTTCAAGCCTGCAGCCCTTGGTGGCTGCCGGCCACCAATTGAGGCTACCAGCCATCACTATGGATGGTCGGCCACATTAGTGGCCTGCCGGCCATTGATGCCTTTTTGTAGATATTTTCTTGACAGTTGTTCCAACTGTTGGCACAATGGGCTTGATCACCATACACGTGTATGGACTAATATAACTCAACCAAAAGCTTCTTTTTCTATAAATATGGGACCTTTTCCCCCATTATAGAGGGTTAGAAAATTTTGGAGCAAAATTCTCTCTCTCTCTCTCTCTCTAAATTTCTCTCTCTCTCTCTTGCAATTTTGTATACATTTGCTCACAAGTCTTATACTTTGACATACACTTCCTTAATCAAACTTGATCATCTTTGAGCTGAGGTCCTTAGAAGCCTCCTTGGAGCTTTAGAAGGTGTTTTTGACTTAAATTTGTGCCTAAAATTGTTGCTTGTTTCAAGAGATACCACTCCCCTTTTACATTTGTTTTTCATACTTGTTCTTCCATCTCTTTCAATTGTTTTTGGGCTGATTTTGAACTATAAAAACCACTATATTTATGACCTAAAGGTGGTGGTTTGAGGCCATTTTCAGTTAGGGGTCTTTTCACCCTTCTTACTTCTTTGCTTGTAAAGGTTTTGTATCTTTGTTCACCACTTTCAAACCAACTTTTTTGGGCCTTTTAACTACTGAATTTCAGAGATTTTTTAGTGGTAAAAAACTTATTTTGAAGTCCAAATTTGGAAGGGTTAGCCTCCCCTCCTTGTATCTTGTTTGCATGCTTAATTAGCTTCATATGTTAGCATGTTTTTCTAGCTTAACTTAACTCAAGTCCAGCATGTTTTAGCCGCTGAAATAGCCTGCTTTAGCTCTGTTTTGGGCTAGTTAGTTCATTGGAGTCTTTTTTTGCATGGTTATAGTGTAATAGTCCTCACAAGTTGGTGTTTTAGGGTCTTAGACACCTCTTGTTCGAGTTGATAGAATCTTTTGGTGTTGTTTTTCACTCGATTTCAGCACTATAAACTCTGCAACCTCCATCTTTGCTTCACTCTTTCATTTCCTTTTTGAGGGTTATTTCAAGCTTGGAATCCTTTAAGCTTGAGATTGAGGTCCTGCCTAATGGTTTAATCCTCTTTGAGGGTTCATTATCAACGGCATGATCTCTCTCTTGCCTTACATTATCCCTTGGTTGACACTTCTTTCATCTTAGAGGACGCTTACCAAATGGACTAATTGATTAAAGAATGATTTGGTAACTAAAATGTGTAAACAAAATTGGCAAGTAAAAGTGGCAAGATAAGCACTTCTTTGTGTTGCATTGTATGTGTTCAAATCAGACGTTAATTTGAACACAAGGAAAATGGGACATTTCACACTCAAAAGTGATGAAATGTGCCACTTTCATAGGTCTCTGTTGCCGTTGATTATGCATGATAGGGTGATGGCATTTGAGTCTTATTTCGCATTCATTGAACTTGCACAAAATTGGTCCTTTAGCCATCATGCATGGAAATTGCTTGATTGATGGTTTGAGGGCCAAGTGCATCACTCTTTTGAGCTTGCTTTGATTATAAAGGGTGATACACAGTACAAACAACCTGTGAGAATACCCTTTCTTTGCCCTGTGTGCTCTCTGTTGCAGCAAAAAGTGGTGTATCATCAGTGGCCTGCAGACCACTGTTACTAGCCTGCCACCCACCAGTGATGGACAGCAACCCTTCAATGGTGGCCGACCGGCCACCATTTCTGACCTACCGGCCACCAATGAATTTTGAGTAGTGTGCTTGTGAGGCATAACAGAGTTGATCTGGAGAACGAAATGGTGCAAGGGTTGTGCAAACAGAAGCATCCGGGGGCAAACAGAGGATGTTCTTCGGGTGGAAATTGAGCATGCATGCATCCCTCGTTTCCCGAGGCCATTTTAGTTAATTTGCTTAGTTAATTAGTTGTAGCTAATACATGCAAATCTTGTAACTATTTAGGTAGATTAATTACTTAATTCATGTTGTAATTAATTTGCTTTGTAATATTTAATTAACTTAGATAGTTAATTATTTAATTGTTTTACTTAATTAGCTTAGAATAGTTAGTTAATTCATTTAAAGTGTTGTAATAATTAGCTTAGTTTAGTTAGCTAGTTAGCTTTTATTCATTCAGACCCTCCTTCGCGAGGGCATAATGTTGTAATAAGTGTGCGTGCGTGTGTGTATGTCTTCTAACTCCACGTCTTTCTCCCTTATATTTACCGGCTTTTGATGGTTAGATTAGGGACATGTTTCAATTAGCATACCTTATGCCTTATGCTTGCATCCATTCATTCGTATTGCATGCATCGAAGCTCGGCGCATTATTCAAACTGCATTGCAATTTCAAATAATTCTTTGAATACGTGTTTAACCGCATGTTGTTTAAATTGCCTCATACGCCATGCTTAGTAGCCGAGCCTATTAAATTACATTCATTGCATGTGTTGCATTAGTCATAATTGAATAGTTAGGAATTATGTATATTTTTCTAACTCATATTTTCTTAGCTTAGAGTACTAGGTGAGTTTTACGCTTTAGCATACTTGCATGAATGTGAATGTTGCCATGTTTAGCATGCTTGCCATGAGGCTATGTGCTTAAATGATAAACTGCTTGAATGCTTGTGGATGAAGGCTTGTTGTTTGAATTGGAACGATTCAACAAATGTGTGTTTTAAGCCCACTTTGTTGAGTAGCAAATCATGTTTTAAGTCCACTATGTTTGGTGGCAAATCCGCAAACTTTTAAGCCACTTGAGGTAGTAAATTCAAACCATTTTCACAAACAAACATGTGTTGAATTGTTCCAACTAGAACAAACTAGTCTATACTTGCTTGTGCGCATCACATAGTAAAGCTAGATTAATAACCGAAACAAGAGCACATAATGTTTATAAAAAATTATATCATGATTAGTGGAGACCGATCTTTGATCAGGTGAGCAGGGGTG